TGTAGATTTTCTACCCACAGCTTTCAGCCAAATGAGAATTGTTCTAGATTCTTAATCGACCGCTATTAACAAATATCAGCACATGTATTTTTTATGCAAATATGTGCCGTTTTCTTGTCTTCTGTTTTTTGTATTTTCCCCCCTTTGGGTGAAGGATAAAGCTGCAAATATATATACACAATACAGAAGCCTGATGAGATTCTGCTGAAACGTCGCTACAACTTTAAAAGCACAACTATAATGACATGGGAAAATACCCGAACAAAGCTGAATACCATACATATAGATACCTGCGAAAACTTAATAAAACAAATGTGTGTGTGTGTGTGTGTGTGTGTATGTATGTGTTATATATATATATATATATATATATATATATATTATAGATATAGATAGATAGATAGATAGATAGATAGATAGATAGATAGATAGATAGATAGATGTTATTGTCAATAGCAATAGTGGTTATATTGCAATTCTAACAATAGAATACCCATTTTGCTCTCCTACATCTTTGGAGTGAAACCTGTTTTAATTTGGTTTCAATTATCTACTTACAAGCTAGTTCAGAAGCATAAAAAGCTATTCATTTTATCTAAACAACTGCATCCTTTGACTTTTTATTCGACTCATGTATGTGGTTGTATAATATACTACCATACTGTATTCTGCTGCCATGCAACCACTTCAAAAACAGAAAATGGTACAAAAAGACAAAGAAGAATGTGAATTGAAAAGCATTTTGTCCTGCGAATGTCTGGAGTGTTTGCACATAGCTAAAATAAAGCTACTTCATTGGCAGAATCCGAAAAGCGGGGAATGAGTAATGAAAAGTATATGTAGGATCAGAAAGGTTTATACTTGTAAGCAATGAAAACAAACTATTAAACCAGACCAACATTGCTAGGAAGTATAAAACTGTTCCTGAAATTCTGTGGCAACTGTGTGCAAAGTTTTTATAATGGGCATTTGGAAGCAAAGCTTAACATCAGCCTAAAAGAAAGGCACTGAAGGATGAACGCCAAATGTTGCAAATAATTACTAGCAGTTTCTTAGCAATTAACACTTTAAAATAAACATCAGATCAGCAATTAATCTCTTCTGATTCATGTTGAGAACCTGTAACCCAGATTAGCTGCCTTTTCAGCAAAGGTTATAAAGGAGCAATTCTTGTATTTGGATCTTAAATAATTTCCCAAAAGCAAAAGCATATAAAGAAATTTGTTAGCAGAACTGGATGAGAAGAGGAATGCTACAAACGTGTTTCACAAATGCAAGTTGGAAAATACTGTTTGTAAGTGGTTACCAGCTCACTGCTACATTAAAAGTGGTGACTGAGCCTACTGTATCTGTATCACATATCTTGATATTTACATCAGTTGCTTTTTACCAAGCTTGAAGTTGCCATGCACTTGTATCACTGCAAACATGATTTCTATCCTTTATAATATGGCAGCAAATTTGCTGATTCTATAAAGCTGCACGTTGCAAATCAAGGAATATGAGAAGACACAGTGGGCAACTATTGTTCAGGTGAAGTAGCATCACTTATCGGAGATTTCAAGAACAGATAAGCAGTGAAAGGGATTGTTCTCAGTTTTTCTTCTACCTATCCTACATTTTAAAATAAAGGCTGATTTATGCTTGCATAGCAGTAGCTGCAAACAAGAGACTGATTTGGGTGGGTGTGTATTTTAATGGCCTCTTCCTGAAATAAGGTGACATCATTGATAGGTTCAGGATAGGCAAAAATATGGCAAATTCAAAGCAAAGCTATTAATGTTGCCAATATTGCACTCAGGAGCACGGCCAGCTGAATTTTTGTAAGAAAAACTATGGACACTACATATACTGCAATAGAAATGCACCACATAAATCTTATCTCTGTCTTATGTTTTGCAAGTTGGATTTGCAATTTTTGTCACAGTATTTTATATTAAGTCAACCCAGGTTTTAGCAAAATATAAATAAAAATTGAGAAATTCCTACTCAATCAGGGAGCTTGATCAGGAGCATCTCGTCTTATCTACTTTGTCAGGTTGTGAGAATAGAAGAATAACCATGAATACTGTCAACCTCTGTATAAGTAAGGAAGGCTATTAATGAAGGAAATGTGTAAATACATTTAAAATGTCTGTTTCCTTCTGCATGAGACAATATGATTCGAATGCAACTAAAATTGAGTTTGAAGAAGGCCAGACTGCAATATCATTGAGAATATGTTTATGAGCAAATATCCACATATCTGTTTTCTGATATTTGGTCCTGAGCTATGGCGATAAAGGAACTTTATCCCTCTTCTTCTATTATATTTGCAACTTGTCATCCAGGAGCCTTGTTGTGGATGGTATATTCGCTTTTAGGATTTATCAACAGCACTTGCCTATCTGCTGTGACTGATAGCCCAGCATTTTGCTGACCAAATCACTTTAAGAGTTGCTCTCCTTGTTGATTCTGCATGGCCATTGTCCAGGAAGAAGACTGGGATGCTGTATTGTCAGGTTACCTGGAACCTCTCTGGCCTGTCCCATCTGAGGAAATGGATAGGATGTTTTCCAGCACATTCTCCGCCTCCCATAGCCTGAATCCTAGCTCTTCTGAGTTCCTATGGATGGCCAGGGAAGAGTTACCTGTATCTGCAAAGTGATCAATGTCTCATTGAAGAAGTGTCTGTGTCTGTGTGTCTGTATGTGTGGGTGTGTTAGCTGGCAAACTTGAAGGAGGCTGAGATGCTTCTGCCCCCAGTCCTCAAGGGGCCCACAAGGATCCAGTGAGATTAGTTAACTACCACCCAGTTTCCAAATCAGCCTTTTTAGAAAAGTTTGTTAAGACAAGACAGGAAAGCAATAATCTGGATTGTTTCCCATCAGGTTTCAGACCCAAACAAGGAACAGAGATGACAATTACACCAAAGGATGACCATTCCAGTGACCTGGACAAGAGTACATCCATCCTGGCCTTTGATACCATCCATTACGGACTGTCTGTGCAGGTTAGGGGCCCTAGAGAGCCCTGGGCCTGCACTTTCCTCAGAAGCCAGTTTCAGTTGGTGGCACTAGCAGCAATCCACTCTGTAACAGCTTCTGTGTGGGCTACATGAAGGTGTACTCTTCCCCCCCTCCATTTAATAGCTAAATGAAACTGCTGAGATCGATCACCAATTACTTGGGCCACAGTGTCCACAGTTTTTAATGTGTGTGTGTGTTTTTTTATCATGGACATTTGAAATGTACTGTGAGTGACATGATAGCAGTGTTCCAATATCTAAGAGGTTGCCACCAAGAAGAGGAGGAGGGTGTTTGTCAACCTAGTCTCCAAAATTTCTGAAGGCAGGACAAGAAGCAATGGATGGAAACTAATCAAGAAGAGAAGCAACCTAGAACGGAGAAAATTCCTGACAGAACAATTAACCAGCAGAACAACTTGCCTCAGAAATTGTGAATGCTCTAACGCTGGAAGTTTTTAAGAAGAGATTGGACAACCATTTTTTTGAAATAGTATAGGGTTTCCTGCCTGAGTGGGGAGTTGGACTAGAAGATCTCCAAGGTCCTTTCCAACTCTGTTATTATGTTATATATTTGCAAACCATTAAAAGTCCTTAACTGGAATGCAGTGGGATATGAATGTAACATGCAGACCAATCTATACTCAAAGTGGGAAAAGATCTAAGGCCGTGATGGCAAACCCATGGCATGTCTGCCACAGGTGGCACGCGGAGCCATTTGTGCGGGCACGCAAGCCCCAGCCAAACGTACCTGCATTGTGCATGCGCGCAACTCCCAGCTGATTTTCAGCCCATCTGAGGCCTTTTTTGGCTTCCTGGGGGCTCGAGGGAAGCCTCTGCAGCCCTTGGAGGCCAAAAAATGGTCCCGCTTCAGCACTTCCGGTATTTCCATCTATCGCGCATGTGTGCGCTTTTGGCACCCCACAACAAAAAGGTTCACCATCACTGATCTAACGGAACCTTCATCTCTCTTTCAAGAGATTTATGAACATTGTGTTTCGGTACTAGTGTGTCCCTCTGTGGATGTGGCTTCTCCCCACTGAGATGCCGTGCTGCCTTACACACTTTTTGCTTCCCAAGTAGGAACAATTAGCTTGGTTTCCCTCCCCCGTGCCAGCCCTCTGAGTCTCTATAACAAAACACCCCATCTTAGGAAAGGCAAATAGGAAGAAGCTTTAGAAAACAGAGGAAATCTGGTCTTTTATTAAGTATTTGGCCAGGACAATGGATTCCAAAAGAGGAGGAACAGCATCAACATCTTGCTTTTCGGTAGGTGCTGAGAAGAAGCGAAGGGACAGAGATGTTTTCTAGCAGCCCTGCTGGGGCTTCATGCAGGGACAGTTGTCCTTTGCTGGGCAAAGCTTGGTTCTATGAGACCACGGTAGTTTCTCACGGCATGGACAGCCCACCCTGCAGCATTCCTGAGAATTGTACAATATAATCTTGAGTCAGCAGGATGGATTAGCCCTTTTTCATTGGGTTTACACTTGTGACCTTAACAGTAGAACTGCAAAAAAGCAAAATGGGATATATGCAACTTTGCCATAACAGCCCTTCTGCATTTCAACTTAAATACACAACAACTGAAAACAGCTACCATTCACTTTAAATTATGTACAAAAAAACCCTATATATTGTGTTTTTTTTTTCTGCTGCTGCTGGTTTTGGATTACACATATAAATACAAATTAGCTATTCTTCTAAAAAGTGGTTATAATAGTAAATAAATACAAAATAAGAATCTGACCTTTATACTTCATGTGCTGTGGGAAGGGCGGGGGAAGGGTTAAACCCATATAAAATGTACAACTAAAATATGCTTTAAAATCTTTAAAAGGAATAACTCTCTGATTAAAATATCTTTCCTCGCTTTTTTTTCTGTAGACATAAATAGATTTTCAAAATAGATGTGTTTAATTCTCCATATCATAACATAAATAAGGTCTTCATTGGGAAATATTAAAGTGTCAAGTTGTGTGTGTGTGTATTTTTGTTTCTGTTCCATTTGTCTCTTTAATTTTGCTGCAGCTGCTGCTGCCTCAGCGGCACCCACATCCTTCCACAACCATGTCCTGATAGTTCTTTAGTACCACCTTTTCATTCTCGTCAAGATACAGCATCGAAATGGGACTTAGTTCTGTCGGCACGCAGCAAGCTTTGGGAATTTTGGAGTTCACAGAATTGACCAGCGTCTGAACAATGGCATGGTTGGTGGAATTCAGATGATCTGCCAATGGGAAGGGACACTCTCCATGGCAATAGAAGGCACTGTAACCTGGAGGGGCCACGATCCAGTCATTCCACCCTACATCATTGAAATCCACATATAAAGGATGCCTTCTACAATTGGATTTATGGCGCCTGCGGTGTTGTTTATGTTTGGCCTGACGTTTCTCTCTCTTATGGAGCGGGTGGCCCATGCCGTCATGCCCAAAAGTGACCAGTAAGGGTCTAATCCGAGACCAGCTAGCATCATCTTGATGCAATGACCTGCTGATCCTGACATGTCTCTTGGAGATGTTGCTGGCATTGTTCAAATGTACCACTTCTGCCACAAAGCCAAGGTTAGGTTGCCCAAGCGCAATCCATCTCTTTACAGCTGGCGTGACATCAAACGTTTCCCATTTGCTGGCGTTGTGATGAACCAAGCGGGTGTCCAGGAGGCTTATGACAGGGTCCTTGGTAGTCTCTTGTTCTGGTTTGAGGATTTCATAAATATTAATTCGGTGATGAGAACTGCCGTCGTGTTCAGCGGCATCTAGGATGTGCTCCCGAAAAATCTGGAGTTCAGCTGAAGTGATCATCTCCCCATCAGGGACAGATGTTAAGTTAAAGAAGAAACGCCGAGATGTCTTCCCACTTCTTTCTGGAAGCTCTTCCAGGGTTTCTGATTGAAGGAGGAGAAAAGCAAAAGGGCAATCAGCAATTTAAACCCTGCAGCAGAATGCTTGAGTTGCTGAACGGAAACGTTCAAATCACCTTTGCATAAACCAATGCACAATTATACCCAGAATCTGCCCCTTGTCTTTCTACTTATCACTTTCATGAAGCTTCATATTGCTCTGGTTGCTGTCCTGCCTTTCAATCCCAACGGATTGCATTCTGAATTCCAGGTGGTCGTAATAAGGGGAAAGAAATGTGAGGCATTGGCTCTGGAATTCAAGGGCATTAAAGATTTTTTTTTTTAACACGGTGGTTAGCAGGGCCCCTGTGAGAGTAATTAAAAAGTGACTAAGGATCAAGGAAAGGGATTGCATTTCTGAGATTTCTTAAAAAAACAAACCACCCAGCTGCAGCTTTCATGTCAGTCTCCCCCAAACGGTTCCAAAAGCATTATGCTACAAGTTTCATAATTTACAAACCTTACCATCCAAAAAGATGTTATCTTAATTACAGGCAACTTTGCAAAGCACACCCAGTGATTTGACTCAAGAGGGCCCTGAATGAAAAGTGTTTGGATGAATTTAGGCATTCACTTGGGGGAGAACCTACAGTGACCAAACCCTTCTGTCCAGTAAACCTACGCAAAGGTCCAAGGAAAGCGTTGTGAACGTTCATTGCAACAGATGCATCCGGTGTTTACCAAGCCGGGCAAGTCTATCAAGCCATGTGGCTGCCCGTCTACTATTTGCTTACTTTTGACTGTGAGCTGAGGGGCACATAGGAGTTCATGCTTCGGTGGTTAAAAAGCCTCTAGGAGTACCGTGCAATTGTTTTGAGAAAGTTTTTGACTCCCAATGTGTACAATGTGTCATTTCCTCCTGTGTACTCCAACCCAGGTCTTTCCAAATGATTTGGGAGGGCAGCTCTCGTAATTTCAAGCAAGTGGAACAGAAGTCTTATCTATCTTCTCAATATATTCCTCATCCCTATTTTCATAGTTAAACAAAAATCTGAATTCAGGTCATCTGACTTGTTAGCTTGGCTGTGCTGGCTGGAATCTAAATCTCAAATACAAGTGAAACGAAGCAAGCCTAAAACCTAAACCATATTTTCTTGTGGTTTTTTTTTTTTTTTAAGGGGGAGTAAACTAAAAAGATGGAGTGCCAAGAAAAAGCGGACAGGAAGAAGAGAAACAGACATAGGTTAGATAGCCGTATACATATAGAAAGGAAAACAGAACTCACATGGGAGATGAAATCAAAGGTTGGGTTTGAAACTGAATAAAGCATGCTTAAATATTTTATAGAGTAGGTTTTACTTACTTTAAAATTTCAGCTCAAAAAATGAATTGCTGTACAATCGTTTAACCTTTACCTGATCTTTAACCTAACCAGCATTAAAACATTAAACTTCCAATTGATTTCTTTCACTGAAATTCTGAACATGAGATATTTTTTTTTAAAGGCAGAGATCATTAGTGTTTTCATAAACACTAATTCCATAATTATCATTCCCCTCAACATCTCTAGTTTAGGCTGGAAGCAAGTATGCCCGGGCCAATCAAGGAATTATACAACAGCAAAACCAAAACACACTGGGCTAGGTGAACAGTTTTGCTTCAAACAGACCTACTGTACTGAACGTAATGGGATTTAAGTTATTTAAGATTAGCCAAAGTATCATGGACTTCAGCAGGTTGACTCTAAGGACAATTAAACTTGGGTCTGGCACTTTTTTAAATAACAGAGGCATAAATGTTATAGCTATGGCTCAGCTAGGCATAGCGCCAGGGGTGGGATACTACAGGGTTAACTACCGGTTCGGGATTTACGAGCTTCCCTGCCCGCTGTGAGCCGCGAGCCTATAAATCGTCATTAGCACGCTGCAGAGAAGCAGCCTTTGAAACAGCCCTCTTTTCTTGTTTTTTTAACTGCAGCTGAGCCTCGTTCGGCAGCTGAAGTTGAAAAAATCAGGAAATAAAGGTCAGGTAAGATCCCAGGTGGGCGGGTGGGCAAAAACATCAGCAGACATAGAACCGGTTCTATGTTTGCTGCTCTTCAGAGCTACCGGTTCTACAGAGGTGGACAGAACCGGTAGAAACCCACCCCTGCCAATTCTTTATCCCAAGGAATTCATTTGGAATTCTCAGCAACAATAGAATGTCACAATCTGGGCACCTTGTGATATGCTCATGTAATACCTCCACTCCATGAAATGCATTGTTTCTCAGTAGGCTTCTGGGTACAATTCAAGATGCTAGTTGTCATCTTTGAAACCCTACAAGGCAAAGGCACATGGTATTGCACGACTGCTTATCTCAATTGTTTCTGTTTGTCTCTCATCAGACCCAGCAGAATGGAATGCACTAGTTCCCTTCTGTAAAGCTGGATCATCTAATGGAGCTCAGGTGATATGCTTTCTCAGGAGCAATATATCTCCAGAGATATGGATGGCCTTGATCTTGTTAGCCTTTAGGAATGCCTTAAAAACTTGGCTCCTTCTCCACTCACTTGGGACAAGATATTAAGTGAGGTCAACTTGTGTGGTTGAATGCAGTATACTGTTGTTGTTTTTTTGTGAGCCTCTGCATAAAATATACTATTTGGATCAGGCATGTCCAACCTACAAGCCAGGGGCCACATGCCACCTGGACAGCTAGTAATGTGGCCCTATAGGATCATAAACTTTTAGCATTATGTGTTTTATATACATTAACTATATTATATATTTTATATCTGGCCCAAGACAATTCCACTCACTGCGGCCCAGACAAGCCAAAAGATTGGACACTCATGATTTAAATCAGGGCTCCCCAAACTTGGCAATTTTAAGACTTGTGGACTTCCAACTCGCAGAATTCTCCAGCCAGCATAGCATAGCTGGCTAGAGAATTCTGGGAGTTGAAGTCCAGAAGTCTTAAAGTTGTCAAGTTTGGAGACCTCTGATTTAGATAGCTCTATTATTATTCCAATCCTTTACATTTTTGTTTTTAGATTTTAGACGAAATAAACATTAGTGTTACTAATGTAGCTATGGCAAGGTGGCCATCGTTCAAAAATCCCTCCTTCTCCAATGCCTGAAAGAATCACAGCTTGGGGCCATGCAATGCAATTTCAAAAGAAACATGCATTTACATGGCAGAACAGATAAGCAGGGACAAGCGGCACATGTTTTCCAGCTTACTTTAGTTGGTCTAGTTAGTTTGAAGTCTGCTGTTGATTCTTAGTTTGTTGATCACTATACCCTTTGTATCAATGCCCCGTGCCTGCTGGTACATATTGCAATATTTAAAAGCTCTTGACTTTCTGCATCACAGGATGAAACACTTGTTTCAGGAGGTATCATGAGAGGGAGAAGGTGCAGGTAGATTAAAGGCGGACTTGCTAATGTCTGAATGGTAATATAAAGATGTATTTCCAAAGCAGAATCTACTATAGGACTTTTGAGTTCTGCCTCAAGAAATTAAGTCTTTCCAAGCTAGGTAGGCACTTTTAAAGTTGCCAACCATCTGAAAGGAGCTTTAGAGTGTGGATTTCACCCACCTCAAATCTTCAAGCTTTACCTCCTAAAACCTCATTGCCCAGAAATCCTGAGGTTTCCTCATCCTGCCTTTTAACAAATATCCTTGACCTCAGTGGTGGGATTCAAAATTTTTTTACTACCGGTTCTGTGGGCGTGGCTTGGTGGGCGTGGCAGTGGAAGGATACTGCAAAATCCCCATTCCCTTCCCACCCCACTAACCCTGCTTTCCAGCTCCTCTCTCCTGTGCAGGGCAACAAAAGAAAACCCAGTCGATCAGCTGGGACTCGGGAGACAGAAAATAGATGGGGGCGGGGGCCAGTGAGCGGTGGTATTTGCCAGTTCTCCAAACTACTCAAAATTTCCGCTACCGGTTCTCCAGAACTGGTCAGAACCAGCTGAATACCACCTCTGCTTGATGTCCCAATTTTTTTATAGAAAGCACATTTTCCACATTCCCCATTAGAACTTTCTCAAAGTCTGGCCATGCAGAACTGGGGAGTTTTTTGCCCCGGTGTTCATTCTTAAGTCTTCACTCCTTTCTCTTCCTTCTGCTTCCCCATTTCCACCCTGGCCACGTCAGAGCAACAGCTCTTACCTAGTGGCTAGGGAGGGGTCACCAGAACAACAGGCCACAGACATCTGCTGTTTATCTCTCTCCTTCTATGCTCTTGTAATCTCTGGGTTACCTTCACAGCCTATTATTTTGTTTTATAAGTCCCCAAAAATTCCATCCTAAGTATGTTGTCAATGTGAGCTTACCATATGTGCTCAGGGCAACTTATTTTCCTGTATATCTAACCCCAGTCTAAATGTCCTATAAATGACTGTGAAAACGTTTTATTAAAAAAAAAATACACTAATCTAACTTTGGTACTGTGTAATTACTGTTCCCTTTCCACCTACAATTCAAGAATTTAGAGGATTGTAAACTACGCAAAATCCTCCAAGCTCTACGGTGCTTACTTTTAACTCGATTTGTATAGGATTGTGCTGTCTTATGCTGCATTTCTCCACCCCACTGAAGTTTTATCTCATACCCTGAGGGTCTGCCCCAACTGATGAAACAATGCAGAGAGGTTTGCCACTGCTCAATGCAACGAGGATGCTCTTCGTTTAAAGTAAAATGCCAATCGTGCAGAATTGACTCTCCAAGATCCTTCGTGGCGGCTGTAGGACAGCCGTTTCTCAGAAAGTTGATGATAGTTGGCAATCCTTCATTGTGGATGCATGTGACTGGGTGGAAGGAGACCCCCGATTGCCACATTGGAGGGTAATGAAGCCAAATTTGCTCATAAGTACAGATCATTGGGGCTATTCAGATCAAGGGCACGACAGCTTTTGCCACCCACCGTCATCAGTTGAACAGGAACCCACGTCTAGATTTTCTCCAAAGAGCAGACAGCATCGTATACATCAGAGGTCTCCAAACTTGGCAACTTTAAGACTTGTGGACTTCAACTCCCAGAATTCCGGGAGTTGAAGTCCACAAGTCTTAAAGTTGCCAAGTTTGGGGACCCCTGATATACGTGTTTATCTTCATAGGTGCATGCATAAAATGTTTCATAGAGCCACATCTCTGGTTATTTCTCCTAATCTGACCTAGAAACATAAACGGGAAGGATATTCCAGAAAACAGCCTCCCAATAATAGTACGGGTAGTCCTTGACTTACAACTGTTCATTTAATGACTGTTTGAAGTTACAACGGCACTGAAATAAATGACTTGTGATCGTTTTTCACACTTACAACCATTGCAACATCCCCAAGGTCACGTGATCAAAATTCAGTTGCTTGGCAACCGACTCATATTTATGGTGTTTACAGCATCCAGGGGTCATGTGATCCCCTTTGATGAGCTTCTGACGAGTGAAGTCTATGGGGAAGCCGGATCCACTTAACAACCATGTCACCAACGTAACAACAGCAGTGATTTGCTTAACAACCGGGGCAAGAAAGGTTGTGAAAGGGGGGAAAATTCACTTAACTAATGTCTCACTTTTCACAACAGAAATTATGGGCTCACTTGTGGCCGTAAGTCAAGGACTACCTGTATGTATTCCAATACCACAGAAGCACATCAGAAACTATTTTGTCGCATCCTTTTTCTTTTTCCTAGGTTGTCCTGCCTTAATTAGATCCTTACTATTTTATTCTGCCTTCCCTCTTTAGAAACACTGCTTTCTACGTTGCTGTTAAAGCACGTTTATATTGTATTTCTCTTTCATTTTCCCACCTTTCTATCAGCCATTCTGAGAGGTTGTGTGAACTAAACTTGTCACGAATGGACTTCCAAAAATCACTGGGCAGTGACTGCATTTCTAAACCAGGGTTCTCCAAGGACAATTGCTATCTTACATACGCAGCAGAAGACAATTAACTCAGCCGGAAGATTCAAATCCACTTTTCAAATGCAAAGTCTCACTCCCGGGGGGGGGGGCTCCAGAGTAAGGCTGGGGTACAAAATCCTTCAGATGTTACTAAGTATTAAAAGCCAAATCCAAGACAGTTTTTAGCTGAGAGCTTTAGCAGGAACGCCAATGAACTGCTGCGCAGTTTAGTTAGACATCCATACACGTAACTAAAAGAAAAGATGGGGAAAAGAAGGGGAAAGCCATGTCTTCGGAAAGGCTGGAAATGTCCATTTGAACTAGAAAATTTCAAAACCAAGTCAGCAGGTTTCTCATGCTTAATTCAAGATAAATAATGAAATTCACAGGAATAAGGCTTAGTTGAGTGGTAGTAATTAAATGAGGTATATACACTCACTCAGGAGTAAATACTATGGAATTTACGTAGATGGATTTATTCCCAGATAAAGGTGGATAAATTTGCTGCCTGAAATATGTATCAGTTTCCCTCTGAACCATGTGGATGTGTAACTGTGCATTAAAATGCAATTTGGCACAAGTGGATGGTGCAATATACATTCTCCCATTAATTAGTTTTATATTTATACGCAAAGCAGTGTAAACACAGTGTAAGGTTAAATTACAACATTAACCTCTTACCGCATTAAGACTTGCTATTAGTTAGCATAATCAGTAAAGCCACACCCCTTGTACAGAAATTTAATTAAACCTATAATACATATGTATGAGTGAGGGTTTTTTTGTTGTTGGCCATATTAGCTTTATAACCTGTTCAGTCTGCTTTTTTTCCTTTACTTTTATAGTAAGTCCAGGGCACTAATGTAAAAATGAACAGCTGTGCATTTATAGTCTTTGATTTGGTAATGGCTGCCGAAAACAGTACATAAGTAGCTTCTGCAGGTGTATCTGTATTGCATTAGCACAGGTGTGGGTGGGATGAAATCAAGTGAATAAGGAACCTGCAGGTTAGGGTTGGGCAAACTTCAGGCTTGCAGGAACTACCTTGTGTTTCATGTAGAACCCCAAGATTGTCCACAAATCTTGAAGATACACTTACAATTTAAAAAAATAGCTTTGAGTGCCAGAACTAACTTAAGATCCACCCTCCCATGTTCCTTGTTACCCCATCACTCCTTTAATGTCAGATGGTGGTGGGGAGTTGCTATCACAGTTAAGAAGTTTATTAGAAATCCTTGCTCACTGCTGTGGTTCTTGTAAGATCCGTACATTTAATTAGATCCACTTCCTTCCCCACCCTTGCTATAAATTGGAAATAACTAATATTTTGCTCATGCTATTACTATCCGATATTTTTCTTAGATTATATTCTTTGAAGATTGCATTAAATAGCTGTTTATATGCATCTGGACTAAATTGCATACATTGTGCCTAGAATCACATACAGAAAGGAGAAATGAGATGTATGACCACACAGGAAAGTTTGGATAGATAAACAGAGCAGGGAGCTAAAAGAAATAATTGTTTGCAAAATGAAGATATTTTACACCTTAGGGCTGTGGACAAGTTTGTTCAAGTTTTATGTACCCCAATATGCAGAACGTTTCAGGCAAGGTGTCTTTAATTTAATAAAACAGATTAGTTCTAAAAGACATTGTTACCAATTATCTGACTGCACAGGCAGAGTATTGCCTTAACTCACAATTGTTTTGCCTTTAGTAAATGTATATTTGCCTGTGGCTTTTAATCTCAGTAAGCCCTAGTTGCCTATAAAATCCAGGGACCGCTGCTCTAAAATTTATCAATCTTGTTTTCTAAAGGGCTTACCCTTAGGTACACTAAATCAAAATTTAAACAGAAGACAAAGTCATAGTGGAGACAATACAATTGATTGTCAAAGTGATCTCTCACGGGGATTAGATAGGGATTAGAAAACCTTCCAAGTGACCCTAGGGCCAACTGTATATTCGAAGGACTTTTCTTACTGCTTAGCCTCCAACAGTTTTCAGTGGAAACTAATTTGAACAGAATCTCTGCTTGAAAATAAAAAAGAAATCTACCTTCTTTGTCAACTATGGATCAGATAAAATCATTTCAAAGGGAAATTCATGCAAAGGCCCATAACAATTACCGTATATCACTTGTATGAAAACTATGCTATCTACCTGTTTAATGAAACACAATTTTCATTTTTACTAAAAAAATGTCTAGCCATTTAGAGGGGAGAAAAATCTAGTTTCCTTCTACTCCTCCCCAATTTTGCTCCAGGCTGTTTCAAATAATCTATATACACTCTTGGAGCAAAATTCAACAAAATCGAAATTCCTACCACGGCGCAAGCAAACTGACCACCCTCAATACCAGCCAACCACACGCAGGATAAAACAAGGAATTTAGTCTGTAAAAGGGACAGCAGTTCCTATCATCCCGAAATTTCAGGTGCCTCAGCTTAAGCATTCACCACAGGTCAGTTCCTGAACACCTAACTGAATGTTGGTTTTAACTGTCAAGCAAACTACAATGATGCTTATTATTATGAATGGTAGGGAAGGCTATATAGCATGTCTCTGTTCAGATATTATATTTTACAAGATTTCTACTTAGGATACTCCAATTGGCAACAGGCAATTTTGTAACCCTGCGGCAATAAGATTCCACTTTCGCCACATAATTTGGGCCCGAGCACAACTGGTGCAACCAGAGTTATCTTTACGCTGATTTAAACATATTGATGTCTATATGCTTGAAAGTGTCCAACACCAACTCAGGCTGGCGTTTCCTACTGGAAGGTTATACAGAAAACAGAAAGCTAAGAGGCATGTCCATGAACCCATTATTAAGGCTCTAGCACTGGTTTTCAGATGGCGTTTCGGAAAGCAGTGGCCCCATAGTTGTTGCTGAACTACAACTTCCAGAAGTCCCAGCCTATAGTGTGGGAATGTGACTCAGCACAATCTGGAAAGCTATAAATTCCCCAACACTCTTTTGGAATACCAGTTAATTTCATGAACTGCTCAAGCAGAGCTGTACTACCCACACACGAAGAAGTTTCATCGGAGATGATATCAAAAGGGACAATTACATTTCACCCACTTGCATTTTCTAATAATTTCTTGTTTCTTTTGCGCAAATGGATTTTTTTAAAAAAAAGCTTTACATTTAAATGGATCATTTTCAAACTGGCCAAATTCAACATGTCTAAATCAAGAAAAATTAAAGATTCAGTTTGATTCCATTGTAGCAGGGCACAAGGATGGTCAATGCTCAATCAGTAAAATGTGTATGTGTGTATTCTCCCTCCCTCCCTCTCTCTCTCTCTCTCTAGCTATTATTTAAATTGCAAGTATTGCCTTGCAAGTGAGCGAATAACAGATCAGAAGTGTCCACATTGCCAGAATATACCTTAGCAAACCAGAGCTCCAGGTTGCAAATATTCAAGTCAGAGCAATTTTAATTTGAACTGGATCGGATTATCAAAGTTTGGGGAGCCAGATAAATAACTCATTTTCCTTACCTTCATGATAAAAGCTCCTGACAGTATTGGCTCTGCTGCTCGCTTTCTCTAGACTATAGTCCATGGAAGTTGGCTTCTGACTCGTGTGCAGATGGTAGAGCTCCAACATATAGGAAGGGATAATAGCATTCTGGGTTGGGGTGGGCCGCCGCTTAAGCCCAAACATATTGAGCAGACGCAGTTCAAATTCACGCAGGATTTCTTCCGAAAGCTGCAGCGGAGCCGGCTGGCCCAAATCAGCACTGAACCTTCGCCGGTCACCCACCTCGGGGATGAGGCTGGCAGAGCCCCCTAGCAGTGTGTGATAAAGCAGCAGCACTAGTAGACAGCAGGTCCTGGCCACCATGGTCATCAACCTATAGGCAAGGCACAAAATCAAAAGACGGAGTTAGATTCCGATGGAAGGAGGGGGACATGATCAACTCCGTATTTGGGGAGCACGCAGAAGGACCAAACAGAGGTGACTTTCCACAGACAGGTCCTCCTAGTAAGTCCATATTCTGTTCGACTTCAGAATAGGTTCAACTTTCTTCCTCTGGAAAAGCCACATGAGGTGAAAATAGTCCCAAACATTTCCAGTCCTCCTCCCCACCCGTCCGCGGCTACTGTCTGCCTAAACTATATGATGAATTGGAGGTTTAATGGCAGAGGCTTTCCAAGGCTCACTCAACATGCCACTCAACTCTCTGTCGAAAGCTGGAGGGGTGCGGGAGAGAAGAAGGCCACGGTCACAAATTGGGGCCCAATCTTGAATGGTCACCAGGGCCAGAGGTTGAGTCTTCCGAGCTTCCAGACTTGTGCTGGGAACCTATCTTCAGGGAAGAGATGAATCCGGAAGGTCAGAAGATTAAATCTCTGGTCCAGGTGACCGACCCAGATTGGATCCTGCAACATTATCCCGAGACACGTACATTTGCTTTCATTCATGACAAATTGGGGTGCCCCTCATTAGCCTTAGCAGTAAGATTCCACCCTGTTAATCCCTGGCACAGTGTGTCTTGGGAGCAACCAACCAATTGCCAGATTTGGCAAAACGAGTTTTCTAAAGCCAGACCATGATTTCCAACTTACTCAAGAGCAGATGTTCACTTCTGAGACTAAAGAGACTTGGAATGATTAGGACGCGGGGGAAATCCCCAAATATTTATAACATGTTGGGGCTGAGGAAGTAGAACTTCCTGAAACAGGTAACCACTCAAAGGTCCTGGGTTTAGGATTGGGAGTGGGAGGCTATACGATGGGACTCAGTGGTGGGATTCAAATAATTTAACAACCGGTTCTCTGCCCTAAAGATTTTCTTCCGACAACCAGTTCACCCAATTGCTCAGAAAGTTAACAACCGGTTCTCCTGAAGTGGTGTGAACTGGCTGAATCTCACTCCTGGATGGACTGCTGGCTTTGGTGGAATCAATAACGTATGACTGCTATCTCTGAAAGCGGCTCGGTAGCTTGTTCCACCAAGGAAAAGCTACTTTCTCAACAGACCAGAAGGCAAAACAAGGCGTAGAATTTAAAGAGAAAAATCAACAAAAAGGGAAACTCACTTCGTAACTAAAGTAAACTTGAGCGTTATCAATGGAGAAAGATTCTAAACTGTTGTAAAAAAAAATTAGCAGGAGGGACTTTCCCGTCACTCCTAGGGGAAATCAGCAAAGCTACTTGCTGATTCCCTAAAGCTACTTGCTGATTCCCTAAGAACTGGATATAGGCAACTTATGCCAGTGAAAACCATGATCCTACTGATTAAAATACAGATTATAGGCTGAAGTGGCAAAGACAGCATAAAATTAAGCATGCATAAACCAGCCTAAAAGTAAGAATGCATAATGCATAAGCTGTACATTAAAATGTGCAACTAACTGTGTGCATAATTGGGACGCTGTTTTGATAATTAAGGGTGCACATTCATCCTTACTGTGTCTTCTGCTTCTTGAGATAAAGGTAAACCATTATTAGTGAGGTCTTCATGGCAACCTAACTTCGTCTCTTCCCTATGGCTCTTTTCATTCTCCACGCCCTCTTCTGGACTGTAATGGCATTTAGTCTACTGTAACATTGTTGAGTGCTTAGGTTCATTCAGCGAATGAAAACTGAATGGATCTGTGTGAGTCATCATTTGTGAATGGGTTACTTACTCTGCTTAAAAAAGCAAAGGGTTTATACAAGTTATTTTTACGATCTACGATACAGTTTTAAAGACAGATGAATTGCTTCAGCTCCAGTGAAGGGGTTTGAACACTTTGTATTTACTCAGTCAAGGTAACTAATCCCGGTGCAACCATTTGCAGCCTAGCGAGAGGGATTAGTTCATTGGACAGGGTTTGCAAAGGGAGGAGGAGGAGGGAAGCACAGGGCAAGACTCAGATGTGCAGGGAAAAGGCCTGGTGTCAAACCCAGAGGAAACCAAGCACACACACACACACACACACACACAAATCCACAAGTGGAAGCACATTTTAGAGGAAATGGAAGGTTTCAGTTTGCCACGGTACAGCAGCACTCCTCCTGCATCTGATGAAGAGGATGGGCAGGATCATTGGTATCACGTTAAGGGGTGATATGTGTAAAGAAAACAAAGAACCCCCCACACACACACACACACCTGGTGCTGGGGAAGTGGGCTCAACCCAGACATTTGCTGGAAAGCTCATCTTGGGAAAACACAGGGCAATAACTTAGAGCGGCTTCTATCAACTCCTGGTCACTCTCCAGATAGTTGGCAAAGGAGGCAAGTTGTAGATCAACTTCTGGCATGCACTAGGCTGGGGAAAGTTGTTCAAGAGGATGCTGGACCGCTGCTTGCGGAGCATCCATTGTCAAATCCATGCTCAAAGGCATCCTCCACCATGACCACACACACACCCACACACACCCCTCACCCCCAACTCTTGGGGTGCTTTAAGTGGCTGCTTCACACAGAGAGATGAAGAAACCACCCCTTGATGTGGCTTATCAAGAACTGGGGGAACAGAGGCATAGACCAAGATAATGGAAGAGTGGAGAGGAACCTCTGCGGTCCTACAATCACCTGAAATAAAAAGGAGAGCTGGCCCTTCTTTCTTTCTTCAGGGAAGGTTTGGAGGAGCGCCGGTAGGGGACAAGGAAGGGCCACAGACGTCACTGGAAAAAGAGGGAAGGAGCTGAGGCGGACCGGACCCTCGGAAGAGCCTTGGCAGGTGCTGCCTTCAACCGCGTCCCGTCTCCCGCGATCCCCCACCCCTCCCCGCCGCCCCTACCTTTTAGGATGCCGCCGATCGCCTAAGCAGCAACAGCAGCAACGCACTCGGGCACGTCCATCGAGCCAGCCTCCACATCGAAGTCGCCTGGCCGAGCGAGCGGCGTCCCGCGATCCCCTCGGCTCTCCGGCCCGGCCTCTCTCCCCGCCGCCGCCGCCGCCGCCGCCGCCCGGCGTTCTGGTCCGACAGCGAGAGAGGATCGGGCGTCCCGACCGCGGGGCGAAGGAGGCGCACGGGACGTTGGAGGGAGAAGGAGTGACCGAGGCAGCGGAGTCCACTTCTTCCGCCGGCACCTTCGAAGCGGTCGAGGCAAAGCCGCCTTCAGACGCGACGCTGTCGTGTCCGAACTACTGGGCTTGGTTGTGGGGGGGGGGGGGGGGGGGGGAAACGGAGGGGGGACGGGAGCTCTCCGCTTGGCTCTAGTCGTGTCTCGTCCGCCGCAATCCCAGCTGGCTTTTCGGAGGAGAAAACATCCCGGCGGGGCTCGATCGCTTGAACCCGGGCGCGATCGGGAGGAGGAGGAGGTGGAGGAGTGGGGGACACGCGGCGATCCCGCTTGGCTGCTTTCGCCCGGCGACCTTTTCCGACGTCCGCATCACTCCAGGCTCCCAGGGCGCCGCCTTGATGGAGAGTGTGGGGAAAGTGGAGGCGAGGCCGGCGCCCTGCTCCCAGGCCCGGACTGGCTGGAAAACATGTCTGCTCGCGAGGAGGCAAGGAGAAGATCGGGAAGCCGGGAAGACTCCCGGGAGGGGAGGGGAAGGGGAAGCGAGTCTCCCGGGGCGAAGGAGGTCAGGCTGTGCCCCGACTCAAGGCCGACCAAGCCCCCGTCCCCGCTTCTCTCTCTCGGATGGGGGACTTCGCCTCCCCTGGGGCGGCAGCAAAACGTTGAATTCCGGGCTACCTCGTCAACTTTGCACTTTTCCCCTTCCTTCCCGGGTGCAAAGAGCAGCTTTCGGGGGACTGCCAGCCTCCGCTTCCTTTCTTGGCCTCCCCTCTCCTCGGTTCGTTGGTACGGCGGCTTGTAACTTCACCCCAGCACCCCGGGCCGGGCGCAGAGATGCTTCTCTTTCGGCTCCGCTTCCGCCGGCGCTCGGAGTGAGGCTCGAGGTGCTGCTGTTGCTGCTGCTGCTGCTGCTGCTGAACGTCCTTCACCGCCCCCCCCTCCGCGCTTTTGCTTGCTCCGCTTCTGCTGAGGTCTCTCGCTCGCCAATCACAGGCGGGAAGCCTGGGTGAGACCGGGAGCCAAGAAGCCAGCCGTCGCGAGTGCTGCGAGGGAGCGCGGCGTGGCGGGCGGCTTTTTAAAGGGAACGCCGCCCCCTTTGAAACTTCCCCTCCTCCTCCGCCCAGCCTTTACTTTTCTTTTCTTCAACTTTTCCGGATTAGGGTAGGATGAGGAGGGGAGGAAGGAAGGAAAAGGGAGAGGGAAGGAAGAAAGGGAGGGAGGATTTAGAGGGAGGGAGGGAGGAAGGAAGGAAGGATTTAGAGGGAGGGAGGGAGGAG